TCTTCAAATCTTTAATTAAGAAAAGAAGAAATTATACATTTCAGAGATTAAGATTTTAAAGGTATTAACAGGTGATGAACACTAGTATGAAATGTAAATGAAAAGCTGAAATTTCTTGCATTCAAGTCAAAGATTTTTGACAAAATTTGAGAATTGAGCCCCAACACTGCCTCCCCACATCCCTGCCCACATAATCTACATAGTCTCTATACTCCAACAAAACCAGAAGGAAAAAAAATTAAGTAAGCCAATGTATAAAAATTTGGTATTTTTAAACATCAAGCTAGTTTACTGAGTGATTGACATAAAGCAACATTACCTTACCATCACTTAAGGAGATGTTCTACTAAATCTAATTATACGTTTAGAAGCAGCAGAAAACAAAGGGACAAACATTCAAATATTTAGCATTAAAGGATTGGTGCATGTCTCCCAAAAGAACATATTCCTGTTATCATGGTAGCTTATGAATCCATATACACTGGAAACCACCTCCAAAAACAGAAAAATAGCATTCCTCAGTAAAACCGAAGTATACTATCCATAGAAATATAAAGACACCATATATTTGTCTTATGGAGAAAACCACCAAAAATCAGTTACGAATAACTTTCATTATTTTTTGAAAAATATACATAAATATTACAGATATTAGATTGAACTAAAGTCCATGTTATCGCTCTGATATAAGTGAATAAAACCTACATAAAAGCTATTCAAACATGTGCTCACTTAATTCACATTTGAAACTGAGGCACTTTTATAGTTTTGAAGTTAAATACTACTATTCTATAGACTAAAATATGTGTTTCTGGCAATTTGCTAAAATCATTTTAAAATGAGTACAGAAATCTATAGTCCCTTATTATACTTATGTTAAAACACCAAATCTTAACAATTAACTGAAATTTCAAGTTTCATCCCTTTTTTTTCATTTCCTTCACCAAAACTTTATGTAATCCATCAACTGATTCACAGCTTAATACGATACTCTACAAACTTATCTTCCCAAATTTTATTTGGGTTTAAAATACAAACATATTCCCACACTATATGGCACTGTATTACCAATTTTCCCCATAAATATGCCCCACTCTCACTTTTCATAAAAAGCCCTTTTTAACACTTATCTGTTCAATATGACATCTAAGCCTCTATATCCATCCATATATTTATCTCACTACTTTTTAAAGAAGGTCCTCTATTTGGATCAGGAGGGTGTCCTTAGATTTTTCATCCAACAAATTACCAATCGTAACCTACTCCATGTCAGGTCTTGTTCTAAGTGCTAGGAATGCAAGGGTAACTTTTACAGTCCCTCTCCTCACCACAGAAAACAAAATCCTCAAAATTTTATGGAAGAACCCATAAAATTATTTATTTTCCAATGAAGTATAGAAAGAAATGATCACTTATCTAAGAATAAACGAGAGGGAGCCAGCGTTTAATAAAAACCGGCATTGTACTAATGTGGGTCGGCACTGGTAGCCCTGCTAGGTCCACGCATCAGCGGGCACCCGGCCACACAGGGCACCCAGAATATCCCGTGGGGAGTGTGGAGTCGGACAGTCCCGGACTACAGTAGACAGTCACATCTTCACTTGGTTGTTCCCCTCATCACAGTCTCCATCTTGTGAGAGACATATTATGACATCTGGGACCTCAGCTGAACTAAAACTTTACCTAGATTTAACGCAAAACCAAAAATGTAAAGGAGGCATGACATGGGTGCTCTATGTGACAAGTGAACATCTGACTCATAAACCAAGTGAGGGTACCAGCACTAACCCACGTTATACACTAGTAAGCGTTCACTCTTGGCAAATGTCATTCCTGCAAAGAATTGACAGATGAAGACCAATAACACAGGCACAAATAATAAAACAGAATCCTCCAAAATGGCAATGCAAATATCTTACTCCTAACACCTAAACTTCATGTTACATTATGAAATAAAACCATGGCAACCTAATTAGATGTGACAAATCAAGCCCCCTCAGATAAACTAATTAGAAACCAAATAAAATACACATTTATATTCACTCCTCTTTAACAACAAACCTCACCCTAAACCTATACTGTGCTGAAATAGCTAATGTGAGGGTGATTAGCATTGACAATGGAAAACCAAACACCATGAACAGGAAGACTAGCGCTAAAAACAGTAGTTGGGATGAAAACTCTTAAGGTCCCTAAAAATGTACATCTTTCATTTGAACCTACTTGTTTCTGAGAGGTAACTGAGCTTTCATATATAAAAACCAGTGTCAAAATATACTCAACATGGACTTAAAACTTAATCACTGAATCAAAAAGTGTAAAACCAAGATGAAAAAACAAATGAAGCACATTCAATCATACTGCTTTTCTCAAAAATGTTTTAGTGAGGAAAAAAGCTAACTTTCAAAATGAGTTACTATTATTTACTCAAAGATTCCTCTTTTAGTGAAAATAATCTTTTAAAAATGTTAATCAAATTTAAAAATTTTCACTTTTGAATATTTTATAATGCATATAGCAAACTTCTACGGTAGGACACATATAATTTAAACTCTACATATGAGGAGTACATACAAATTCTTAACTGATACGTACAGTCGTTTCAGTTGAAGACCACTAGTCTAGAGAAGATAGATAATAACTAGAATAATGTGATATTATAGTAGAGGAGATGTAAGTTGATAAAAAAAGAATTATAAAGAGCAGTTATTAACTCTGAAGGGAAAAGTTTCATTAAGCTATAATTTGAACTGGACCTTGAATACAGACTGACTTCCCAGTATGGCAAAAGGAGGAAATGGAATTTCAGGTCAAGGGAGCAGCATGAACATAGTTACTAAGACATCAAAGTAAATGGTATGGTAAAAAACAGAATTAATAGATCTAGATGTTATGTAGGTTCCCTGTCAGTAAGTCTAGGCTTTGAGCATCGAATTGTTGCTAATATTGTGCAAGAAAACCAGGTACTATGTGCCTGATAGAGGAACAAACCACCACTTAAGTAGTAACCTTGTTCCCAAAAATTAAACATCAATCTTGTCAAGGCTCTAGATCTCTCAGGAGATGCAAGCAAGAGGTGCAAGCAACTGGCACAATCCAAACTGGAAAACTGCAGGACAAATGAAGCTATTTCTTCATTGCATGGGAGAAGTGTGGAGTGGGAAACAGCACATAAAGAACACACAGATTAAAAGGCATTTCAACCAACCAGTATATGGATCATATTTGGTTACTAGCTAAAACTGCAAAAAGAGATGATTAGAAATTTGAACAGTAACTGGATACTTGATATTAGGAATGATTCATTTCGGTAGAGTAATGAATCTATGATCACTTTTTCTAAATGTTCCTTATCCTTCAAGTTACAGACTGACATACTTAACAGATGAACTAACAATAATGGCAGGAGGGATCATGCAGACAGGAGTTTAAATGAAACAAGACTGACCATGAATGGACAATAACTGAAGCAGGGACATGAACACTCACTTCATTATTCTGTCTTACTTGTGCATATTTTTAAATAATTTTAAAAAGTCAAAGCCTCTAGGTTTTGTTACCTCTAACTTTAGATCAAACTGTCCCTTCAACATGAGGTTTGTCCTGAGATATTTCTCATAACTGAGACTGAAAATTAGGGTATCATGTCCATGTAGAAATAATATGCATGAACGGGAATGAGGTCTTGAATTAGTCTCAAGTTTTGAGAATAACTTACACTGTACTAAACTTTCACTAGGTTTCATCCACAGTGCCTAGCCAGAATAAACAGCCAGTTGGTTGGCCAAAAAGTTCATTCTCGTCTTTTCTGTAACATCTTATGGAAAAATATAAACGAACTCTGTGGCCAACCCAAGGCAACTGAAATAAAACATCACAAAACGGAATCGTTTTATCCTTCGAAATCGAAATGAACAGGATATTGTCAAGGTTCAAGAAAAGAAATGACCCCAAGAGTAGGTATACAGCAAAAGCTTTTGTAAGCAATTCTTGGTTTTAAGCTCCTGATGGAAATCTATCACAACTCAATTCAAAGTAGATACACTTTTTTAAAAAACAGTGCTTATTGGAAGATAACAGAAGAAAACAAATGCATCAATAGAAACAATCTAAAAACAAAAGTTGGTATATTCTGTACACTACTCAAGGATTCTTTTGTGCATGAATTTTTATTGGTATAATAAGAATGAAATCAAACTTAATCCAGTCAAATTGTATGTTATTTGGGGGGAAAGAAAACTGTGCTGCTTGCTCTAAAACACTTTCAAGTTTAGAGGAAAAGTGTATTATACTTTTAGTTTAAATATTTTAGGCTTTCAAGTTTTTAATTTTAATTTTATTTTGTTGTCTACACCATGCAGCATGTGAGGGCATGTCGACCTTGGTCTCTGACCAAGGACTGAACTCAAGCCCTCTGAAGTGGAAGCACAGAGTCTAAACCACTGGCTTGCCAGGGATCCCTGTACTATAATTTTTAAGGTCAGAATAAGGAGAAGAATAAGAATCAATGTTATTCCTACTTGAAGCAGCTCATAAGCTGTAAGGTAAAAACACTAAATGCCAATTTAAAAAATATCTTATGGAATTTGTTAATTCCAAACTGAAAATTAATATATAAAAAACTGATGTCAAAGTCACAGCAAAACATTTAAAACATTTTAACTGCTAGGGCTAAAGAGATAAGACAATTTATGACTGTGGGGACTGTTACTGATTATATGTATATATGAAATAGGAATGCTATGATTAATTAAAAGTAAATTTTATAATGGGTAACATACCCCAAACAGCTCCTCAAATTTTATTTAACTGTATCCTTAACCTGGTATGGTTTTGTTTGGAAAGAGAAATTAAATCCATTTCTAATTCCACAAAACATCATTAATGAAAGGGAACTAGATTACAGAGACACACACACACGCAAACACTCTCTCTCTCTCTCTGGGGACAAAGAAGGTAATTCATAGCCATACACTTGTTACAGAAATATGCCTCTAAAGAATTTTTTAAAAAAACTTTTATTTAAAGATTTGTTGCGCAGCTATTGGGGCTACCACCAGATAAGTAACTTGATAAAAAAAAATCCCTGGTACAAATCAAAATTAAATATATCCCAACATACCAAAAATTTGAGAAAGGAGCTTTTTATGGATGATACATCAACAAGTAAATAAGAAAAACAATTCAATCTGTAAATAATTCCCGTTAAAATTAAAAAATCAATATGGGTACCATTTCTTTCTTATACTTTACATTGATTACTTCCACACATTAATAACTTCTTGTTCATACTTTTGTTTTTAGCAGTATTTACCAAAAGCAAAACCAAACTCAAAACAGATGTCTTCACATCTAATATTGCTACATTTCTCTCAATGTTTGCAAGTATACATTATACTTCCTACAGCCTCTTGTGCTGAACATTCAGCCAGGGATACCATTATAAAACTTTCCTATTTATGGCTATCAGAAGCAATTCTACTACTGAAAAAGCTTAACGATTTCTTTAATGTTAGACTTATCAAATGGAAACCTTTCAGGCACATGGTAAAATACTAAATCTTTCAACTATAAAGTACTTCTCAAATATCACTTTTAAAGTTAACCCCTATCCTATTAAAAGTTTCAAGACATTTCAATAAAAATGGAAAAAAAGGGAAAAAGAGTTGAATTAATCTCCACTGTACAAGTATTTTAACCAGTGTGAAAGAAAACTCTAAAGTGAATACAAAAATGAAAAACCAGCCCAAATACATGGTAATAAATATAAACATGGCCAAAATATAGTAAAACTATTCTGCCATCTTTTCCAAGAAGAGAGTAGGAGTTCAACTCATCAGTCAGCTGTGTACATTACTGATATTCAAAATTAATTTAACAAAATGTTTATTAATATGACTATGTTTACAAACAAGTCTCTATGTACAGTAAACATACATAAAGTTCTAATAAACAACAGTGCAATGCTTCAGAAAGTCTTAAGCATTAATAGCAAATTCTTACAATTCTGAAGTCTTTTAGCTTGCCAAATGCTTTGGATTAAGGATACAGAATATATCAAATACTCACTTGCAGTTTTCCATGTCACCCTCCACTGCAAAAAACAAAACCAACCAGCAAAAACTAAACAAACAAAAAGCCCTAACCACACAATGACCACAACTGAAATGGAAATTCACGATCACTAAGCAGATATTTATACTTTTAAAACACAGCTCCTGAAACGCTGCTGACTTCCTTCAGATCAGACTCAAACAGAGACCCGTACGATGTTCTAAATGGGGTTACTCTTCTCAAATTCATACAACACTTCAGACCTCTGTTCCAAAGATGAGGTTCTGATCCAAAAAGGCACAAGTTTACATCTTCCAAAGGAAAAAAGCTTCAGATTGATCTTTCTATGGCCATATATATCATTACTAACATTTTAATTAAAAGTCACTTCAATCGTAAGAGTATTATCAAGAAAGTTTTTATTCCAATGATTTGGATTAAAGAGTCTTAATATTTGCAGTGGTAAGCTATATTTAAAACAAATATTTTCAACAGGACATCAGCTAATTTTACCTAATTGTATCCTTAATCAATACTATACTGAGCATTTGAGGGAGAGAAAGAAAATAGATTTCAAACTTCCACAAAATACTGCTAGTTAAAATAAACTAAGTTATAATCACTGAGATTAAAGCTTGCAAAATTCTATGAACATGTTAGAACTTTGCCTTATAAAAATATCTTTTTTTAGATCTGATGAGGATTGAGAAGGGGTAGGTTGAGAAGGCCAAAAAAAAAAAAGTAACTACTTTGTCTTTATTAACAAAATAAGTCAATTTAGGGTTCTCCTACTAACTTCTATTTCAATTCCATGGCAAAACACCTAAAGGCAATTCTACAGTCCTTTTTTCAAATGAATAATCAACAGGAAAAATATATTCTACGGGTTACAAAATAGTTGTCATTATTATAGTTGTATAGAATCCCACCGCAGAAGCAATTTAATTACCTCACAAAGAAGATCCACATTTGAAGATTTAAGAAAGATTTCTTTTGCAAAAGATGCATGATTTTTGGAAAGAATAAACTTAATTATGTAAAAATCAAAACAAAAAAACCTCATGATGTTTCCAGTTTTAATTGGAAAAACAAAAATCTTGAAACACATACAAACATTTAGGAGAAAAGAGGGGATGGTTTGACAACATCCATCAGCAAGTGTTAGTGACAGGTTCTATAACTCAGATTTTTTTCTTGTTAAATCTCAAATTTCCAAGTTTATTCTATTTTTTCCTATATATATTTACCCGTTTGAACAACATCAATAATAAATGACTGAAACAAGAGGGTCTACCACATTCTTTGCACAGATCCTTATCTGAGTGGTACTCCAATGCTTGTTCGCTTGCTTACATGGTTTTCCCTACAGTGAGATGCCCTCTCTACACTCTATTAAACTACGTACCATCTTCTCATTATTATTCTTATATTTAGCACATAAAGCATTAAAACAAACTACCACTTCATGTACCAACGTTTGCATGACAATATAAGCATTGTCCTCCAGAGATGAAAAAAAACTGTAATAATTATCATGTTTAAAAGGCATGTTTTTATTACTTTTAAATGTATTTTGGACAAAACTATTGATCAGCTAATTATGCTCTTCCACACATCATGTTCACTGAGTTTACTACCAGTTTTTAGTGCAACAAAATACCTTTGAAAGCCACTCTACAGTAACTATGGCAAGGCTCATTAAAATGCAGAGGTAAAGATTCCATTTGTATAGAAACATAGAAAACAATGTTTGAAAAGAAAAGGTGTTCCACCAAGCTGAATTTTTTGTATACTAAAAATATATATAAACATTTCTTGAATTAGTTTTATAGTCAATTTAGATGTAATATCATTTAGTGGTGATAAATTTTGAGAGGTATATGTTCAACAAACATTATACTTGAGATTATATAGTCTTAGGTAAACATTTAATACACAATACCAAGGTAGCTTCCTTTTTTTTTTGTTTCTTTTAATTTTTGTACCAAAAAGTCATACATTTAATGTTGACATTTCTTCTTACCTGTGTGCCTCAGACCAATAAAGTACTCTGCATTAAAATTTAAATCTTGAGACAGTAGTACAGCATTGAAAAAAATTGTAAAGCAGCTCAGATACATCGAACCCAGATTTTACATTTCCATTTGTCAAATCAGAATATAAAAAGTAAGCTTGAAAATCAAGTTGAAAAAGCTTATTATTCCCCCAAGAAAAAGTATGAACAATCTGAAAATGATCAACTAGTATGAATGAAACATTGTACATTAAGTCATATTTAGTGGTTGCTAAACATACCACTCCCTCCTGGAAATTACGGAACCATCTACATGTGAAACTAAGTCATCTTCATTTTCGTCATACTGTTCATCACTGACGAACTTCATTCCCATTTTTAGATCTTCATAATAATCCATTGGTCTTTCAAACCTATTGAGATTTTCTACATTGTTCCACTGCGTTTTTTCAGGCTCTTCTAAATAGTCTTTCCGTATTAGATTGTTCACTGGATTTTTGTTTTCTTTTTTTACACTGTCTGGGTAAGAATCAAGCTCATCTTGCTGAAGAACATCTATCTGTGATTCTTTTTGCATATCTGATGGTGGAATGTAGTTCTTGGCAAAGTAGTCTCCACGAAACGTCCGTCTTCTCCTATAGCAGAATATTCCAGCCAGAACACTTACAAGTACTATGAAGAGAGCCCCACCCACTACACTAGCAATGATCGTGCCGATCGTGTCATCCTTAATTGTTGCCAAAGTTGACAATGGGAAGGGCAATTTTTTTGGTTCTGTTGCTAGATCCTCGAAGTCAGCAGTTGAAGGATGCCACTGAATTGTAGGCTGAAGGGTGGTAGTAGTAGGAGGATCTAATGGAAAAAGTAAAGATAGACAAGACACAGAAAGGCAAAGAATGTCAGTGCAGGCTGATCCAGCAGCAAGCTGAAAAGACAGCACAGTTAATGAAAATATATTCATAGTAACAATAGTTTTTCATTCTTAATTTAAGATCAGAGGATAGTGATACTTCTATATATTTTTTTTTCAGATAACAAAATTGACACTAAGTCAGTTACCAATCACATAAGGGAAGTGAAAAATAATGCATGGTGTAAATCCTAAATTTTCTATTGCGAGTTTAAGCACAATATTGTACTCTAAGAAAAGTATTTTTTAAAATAAAGAGTATTATTTAAATGTTATATATATATACTACACAGCTGGCTTAAGAATTATCATTATCAAAAAATTAAATCAAATCATTCAAATGTACATTTTCTTAGCCAGTACAGTAGCATAAGGAAATAACAGAATGATAAAGTAAAAGAATGAAAAAAATTCAAGTGTGTTTTCTTAATATCCATCTTTACCTAATAAAGTTAATCTTTATTAAGAGGTGAACTTATCTTTAAAAGAATGAAAAACTATAGATTGTTAAGTGGCCGTAGTATAAGCTGTTGGCTTAATAATTCTCTCAAAAATATTTTCCTTAAATAAAGAAAATGCTTTAAATTTTAGAAAGCATGTATGTAGTATATACCATGATTTAGTGATTAAAAAAATAAAAAGTATATATTTATACTATGTTAGCCAATCATGGGCTATTATCAAATGAGACTGACAAAGAAAAAACATGTTATAAAGTGTTACAAAAATATCATCATCATGTCTATATCCCATGGGTAAGATATCTGAACATTTAGGAAATTTGAGAAATTTCAACCATATCTGCAAAATTCAATGTCACATTGCTTTAGGATGGAGTCTCAAAAAGAGCAGCTAATATTTTAGAGAGAACATTCTAATGATACTTAAATATTAGATGCAAATGACCTTGTGTATTGCCATTAGATTATAGAGTAAATAGCTATTAATATTAAAAAGCAACTAAACATAAATAGTAAAAAAATAAAGATTGGTTAATTATCAATTAAGTGGTATTTGCAGATCATGTTACACAAAATTCTAGAGTTTGAAGAAAGGATGAGTTCAAAATTCTTGAATTTCTTCATTGATAAAAAAAATGATCCAAATGATAATCTCCTATAATTATTTTTTAAATGAGTGGTACTGACAGAGCTTTTAAAAAGTGATTGTTAGAAAAATACTAAATCTACATGGGGTAAGTTATTCTAAAATTACAAGCTAAAGAAAAATACTTACTGAAACAGGTTTCATCACGGAATGCCATATGTACAGAATGTAGTAAAAATTTAGCAAGTACAGTATTAAATGTAACAAGGACATTATAAGTAATTTCCTATGAGTGTAAACCAATATAACAGGCAATCCAGTCAAGTACCTTGAAGTTGAATATTATTTATCATAGTATATGTAAGTGAATCAAAGAAGTTTTAATTTGTGAGAACATAATCACTAGCTGAATAAGTTCAATCTTAAAATTGTGGAACAGTAGAATCATTTCCACTGTAAAAGTAGTAAAGCCTCATATAATCCAATCCAACCTCACAGAACCAGGATATTAAAAATTAATCATTTATAAGATAACTCATGTATTTTCTGAGGAGGACTAATGGAAAAGTTTTATGTATTCAATGTTGTCTTTATAATGACTACCAAAGTAAAAAGTATTATAATAAACGGGCATCAGCATGTTTAAACAAAAACACAAATTACCTAATTAATGATTTAAAATTCTAAGTTTGTGACAGCTCTTAATGAAATATTTTTCTCAGAATAGTAAACCTGAGTTCTCACCAAACATAAGATACGTAACTGTACATTTTTATAAAGCATTCTTTAAGAAATCACCATTTATTTCTACTTGTGATGTTCTTTATGTAAACACAAATGGATATCTACTGTTTATTTAACTGAGATTTAACAAAATACAGCTTTCAGAAAATCCAACTACAAAAAAAACAGTAACCCCCCCAAAAAAATCTATTTAAAAATCTTAAGTCAGTGGTTCTAGAATTTTTTTTTAACCTACCATCTCCTCCTCAACTATTAAAAAAAAAAGAAAAAAAAATAGCCTCACTGTCAATAAATTCCATGAAAAAGGGACTTTCACTAAACTTTACATTTTGTATCTTAAGCAACAGACAGACATATGATGATTCACACGAGACATTTATTCCTGCTTTCCAATTTTGCTCTACTTCAAGATAATTACGGTGAGAGTCCTATTTGTGAAATGAGGCATCTAACAGCTACTTATTTATCAAGATTTAGAAACCGTTCCCAACAGCATTCTGTATTAATGCAGTTTTTTTAATATTCTTTGCTAAATGTGGTAAATAAATATATAACAAATGTAATAAACAAGTAGATTCTGAGTTCTCCAAATCCAACTTCTCAATTTTCCCTTTTCAAACGAATTGAGTCCTGCCAAATAGGAAAACAAATAGTCCAGCAAAACCTCTGTAGCTATAAGCATGTTTTAGCCTAATAATTACTATGTTAAAAATGGAATGAATTGGTTCCTTCTTCTTTCAGACCATATAAATTGTTAAATAAACAAAATCTATAAACACTAAAATTTAAGGACTGCTAAGTTAAGTGTGCTTAATATGTGTGGATCAAATCAATCTGATTTGAAATTAAAGATCTGCACAGGAATATACTTTGATTTTTTTAAGGCATGAGGGAACTTAAGTGATACATGAAAATCTGCTTCTCTATTCTCAGAGAAGTAAGAGGGATCAGGAGAAAAAACCCACATCAAAAGCAACTAGGAAAACACAATTTCATGCAGTCGGTTAGTACTGGACAGAGTCACTGTACCATGATGAGTAATAACTAAAGTTGTATACTGCAATCTTGGATCCTGAATATACAAAAATCATGCCAATGTGGGAAAATGTATGACAAAATTTCAAATAACTTCTCTCGGAGCTAATAATTCTATTCTGTTCTGGGTTACCATTTAGTTGCCAGTCATATGATATACTCATTTTACAAATATTTTAAAAAATCAGTAATGAAATTTTAAAATATAAATTTTATTATTGAGATAAAAATGTTGTCCTGGAGGAAAGCAAGAACATATATCTCACAATGAAAAAAGACTAACTTTCTGATCATTCATTGTGTAAGTTATGGCCTTTTATTGTGATAAAAGTCTACTAGTAGACCTTAGTAGCCATTTTGGAAAGGCAATTTATATCTAGGATACTAGATATAACTAAGAAGCTCTTAGAGAAGTTAACTAAACTCAGCATGGTATACTGTATTAAAGACTATGGATAGAAAAGTCAAGTCTAATTCCTGATGACTACTTAAAGAAAACTATCTCATATAATGCCATCTTTTTCTGAAGTATTTAGTGGTAATTAATTTAATTTTTCATATTTACTCAAAATGTTGTTTCCACTCTTATAAGACTTGGTAGAAATTGATTTTAAAATGTTTAAAGTTTATCATCAGTGTTACATTACGACTTTTGCCATGAAAATAAAATTACATAAATGTAGATTCTGAATTTTTTATTCTTTCCTGATTGTTTTCTTCTTAAATGTATTCATGCATGCAACAAAAGTTTACTGAACACTTGTTATGTGTTAAGTATTGCTGCAATTGGTGAGAACATAGTATTGATTAAAGCAGACCAAAATCTTGCCTTCAAGAACATATGTTCCAGTGGGGATAAAAATAGGCATGCATATAAATAAAACCAAATATGCAGTCCATCACATGGTAATATGTACCACAGAGAAAAAATAAGGCAGAGAGATGAAAGACAGACAGCAGTAAAGGGGTGAGAAGAGTTTCCATTTTAAATGCAGCTGTGAAGGTGCTATGTGAGCAGACACTTACAGGAAGTGAGGGAAAGAGGCCTGAAGACGTCTGAAGAGTGTTCTCAGCAGAGGCGACGTCTCTGAAATGGGCCTCTTGTGCTCAAACAGCAAACTGGCTGGTATGACTGAAGCCAAGCAAGCAAAGGCTGTATGGTGAGAGGTGAGCTCAAGAAGATAATCTAGCACCAGGACATGGACAGAGCTCACAAATCACTGTAAACGTCTGGTTTTCATTGTGGGCAAAATGGGAAGTCCATGCAAAGTTTGGAGTAGAGGACTGATGTGATCCGGCATGCCCTTTAAAAGGGTTAATCTGGCTGCTCAACTGATGACAGGCTGAAGAGTAGGAATATTGAATAACTGTTCTATAGAGAGGCAAGGGCTGCTGATGGTTTGTGCCAAAGTACTTGCAAAGTAGTAGAGAATTGGTAAGGTTTTGCACATAATGAAAGAGTTCAGACCAATTTGTTGTGGATGGGGTGTGGTACGAGAAAAAAAAAAATCAAAATCAAGAATAAGTATCAAGGATTTCATGCCCTGAGTCAAGTGTACGACAGAGATACCAATAACTAAAAGACAGACAGAGACTCCTAGAGGAAGAGATTTCATAGCAAAAAGCGTAAGAAAGATGAGGAGCTCAGTTCTGAATGCAAATTATACTTCTACATACAAGGGGCTGTGTGTGTGCCAAGTCGCTTCAGTCATATCAGACTCTGCGACCTTATGGACTCTACCCTGCCAGGTTCCTCTGACCACGAGATTTTCCAGGCAAGAATCTGGAATGGGTTGCCGTGTCCTGCTACAGGTGATCTTCCCAACCCAGTGATCGAACCCACATCTCTTAGGTCTCCTGCATTAGCAGGCGGGTTCTTCTAGTGCCACCACTGAAGCCCCCATAAGGGGTTAATGATCACTAACAGACAGTGGGACACACAAGTAACCAGGACTGGGAAATGGACCCAGAATACCAATGATATAAATTTGGCAAACCACCAATTGATAAGACGCTAAAATTGAGCCTTGATATTTAAATGATTACAAAATTAGAACGCGCTGAGCCTAGGATTTATAAGTAATACCCCACACCAAATTCTGTACAACAGAAATAATAAGTATGCAGTCCTTAGGTAACTACATTTTAAATATGGATTTCCTGTGGCTTCAAAGTTCTTTTCTTTTTTAACAAAAAACCTCAAAGGGAAGAAAAACAGACTAATATACTAACAGATTTATATCAAAGCACTGCTACTGGCAGGAAAGACTAGCTAGAGATGCACAAAACTATAATCTGCTTGTGAGATACATGCAAGAAAAACAACTTGTGTGCCTACCAGGGGCCAGGCACTAAGGATACAATAACAAAGCAAGTACAGGCTGTTCAAATACGAGGACAGATGATTACATAAGCATACAGCTACAAGCTGTGATAAATGCCATGCAAAACAATATGGAGAACTGTTCTTAGATTAAGAGATCCCAGAGGACAAAGAACGCGACATTAATGCAAGCTTAAAATTTCTCTAAAATCATGCAAAAGAATCTGAAAAAGAATAAATATATGTACACATACAAAACTGAATCACTTTGCTGTACATGTGAAACACTGTAAATTAAGTATAGTTCAATTTTTAAAAATTTATTAGTTTTAGACTGAACAGAGATAAACTCTAAATACCTATTATAGAATTACTATACAAACCTGTACTTCTCAAGGTTCTTGTCCTTTTTCCTCTCATTTTCCATTTGTTAGAAATAAAGATTACTACAGTTTTATAAAGAAGGAGATGCTTAAAATATTTATATAATCTTTATAAATAAGCATTCCATTGATAATTTATTATTTATAGCCATACCCTGGAAAAATATTTTAGCTCCAACTATGTTTTGTAAAAACCCAAATTAATACTCAAACTGATGAAAACATTCACAGTGAAACAAATGAAATGCATAAAATCTAAGTTCTTAGTGGCTTATGGACCAACCAGAAAAAACATCTTAAATTTTATTTCATCAGCACATTTTCAGTAGCATGTCCATTTCACCTCTTAGTAACTCAATAAGGCATAAGCTCATATTGAGTGACAAAGATATTTAATAAGAAAGGTCATCAAAATGGATATTTTATTTATTAAAGACACTTGCGTGCAGAATAGCTGCCAAAAGCAAACAAAAAATCCACTATTTATTTTTTGTATAAATACAAAAGAATCTAGAAAGGTACAGACTATATGTAATATTATAACTGAAAATTCAGCTATATGCATAGGTCTTAAAATGTATATGAACTTACTGTATAGACATTTTGACAATTTTTAAGTCATGGAAAGCTACTTTATATATGAATTTCAGGTAGAGTTATTTTATCATATCTCTTTTAGATTATTTGGAAAAACTCACACTGAGGAATATGTATCTTCACAAGTACAAATTACTGCCTCCATCACAGTGTTATTGTTATTACTGTTGTTATAGAAATAATCTACATAACTCATTTTGTGAGTAGATAGTAACTTACCTGAAATATAGATGACCTTTTGATCACTTCTTTGGCCAAGCGAATTGGTCACTTTACAGACATAAACACCAGAATAATTGAAAGTCAGTGGATGGACAAAATGAAGAGTATTGTCTGAAGCCAATAAACCATCAGGCCACTGTCCATCTAACCTAGATTTTAAAAAGCATGAAATTAAATACCTTCAGATTCTATTCACTGGCAACTATTTAAGTAAGATATTACACTTTCCAGTTGTTAGAGAAAGAATCAGCATCCTTTAGGTAAAATTCACTATGAAATAAAAGCATGTAAGTTATGAAATTTCATTTTAGTAGAGATGAACCAACAGATAAAGAACACCCATTTAGAACACCCATTCTTTTAAAACATCAATTCATATAAGCGAAGCTAGGCTAACAGAGGGAATAGGAGAGAAGGAGAGAGAAAAATTATTTACTTTTAAAGAATTATATTCAGAAAACTGGAAAATTAGAAGTATTTAAAAACATACCCATAGTCTTAAAAGAATTAAAACAATTCTCAATGAATTATGAATCCATACATGATGTATCTACAATTTTCACAGTGAAAGTCATCACTTTAGCACATGATAATATTTTAGCACCTTCTGTAACATATTTAAAGAGTAACATTTAATATTGAGCAAATAAATTTATACTGCACTGTACTCCAAATATGGTTAACTTCTAAAGCACCAACAAGGGTCTTCTTACAAAATAATTTTACTCATAAAGTAGGCATTTGTAACAGTAAAAACCAAGGCCCCTTTGCTATCAGTAATAACTCTTTTAAAATGATTTGTATACTAATTAGGCTAAAAGGTTCTATCCGGTGTGCACATTGCTCTATAAAGTATAACAGGAATAAAAGTTCACTGTAAGAACTCTAAAGCTATTCATTGCAATGGAACTAAATGTATACATGTATACATGATGTATACATCATTTTTCCATGTTAGGGTATATCCCACATGGAGGGAGGAGGAACCAATTAAGTCTTTATTTTGAAAGTGTTTTTACAGCCCATAAATTATTTTTATTAAGATAAGAGGATAAAAGTGAAATAAACCCAGGTACTCAACTAGTAGTATAGTTCGAGTTAAGTAGATTTTCAAAAAGTTCATTCACTCACTCAGTCAGTCATCCATTATTTAATTATTAAGAACTGAACCATTTACCACACTCTTCTCTGATAGTGCTGCTGATATGCACAAGTGAGGAAGATGTGGTCCCTGTTTTCAGTGGCCTGAGCACATGAGCAGACTAACTAATTACAAAGGGAGTAAGAACAAAGAGCAATGAACAGGCACAGAGAAACGAATCAGCACTAGAGACAGGATTCTGTTCTGTGATCCAAACCACCAATAGAACCTTTTAGAGTTGCTATGACTTAATTTAGCATTGAAGGGTAAAGGTAATATTCTTAAATTATTTAAAAAACAAAAACTTCATATCTTCTTCTTAAGAGGACTTTGGAAAGAACACTTTTACAAACATCAGCTTTCAAAAGGTTAACTCTTTTTCTGAAAGTACAAGAATGAATATGAAGTCTATGTATCTTACCAATTAGCTCTGTACTCTGGGCCTTAAATTCTAATCCCTTTAACTCTGAGAAATATAAAAATGGCTTATAATCCTTTAAAGGTGTTTATTCAAATAAGCTAGAAAAATATAAATGCCATATTAAACTCACAACAAAGGACACGCCAAACACCTTACAGGCTCTGTACCTACACTACATGGTTTAGGTTCATCAGCTTTACTCTCACAAAAACCCTATAGAGCACTATTATCAATGAGGAAACAAAGGCTTAGAAAGGCTAAATGATTTATTCAAAAGACTGCTCCAAGTACAGACACCAGAATGAGAACTCAGAAGTGTATGACTTTCAGATATACCCTATCACACATCTTAACCAATGCCTGCTTCCCACTTTGAAGAAAATGTAAATGGAAGGCCTTCACTACTTTAAAAATTTATCTTTGCTGAAAGACAACAGGTTAACCAAACATTCTTTCTCTGATCCCACAAAACACCATCTCAAACAGGAGCAAAGGAATGAAGAACTACTAAAGACCAGCAAGGAGAAAGAGAAAAGGAGGCAGAGCTCACTGCACAAGACGTGTCAACAAACTTCAACAAGACAGAAGACAGACAGGGAAAACAACAGATGCATGAGGCCAGTGCTCCCCAGACAAGACAGACAAACAAGACAGAAGTAATTCTGTCTCCAGGGGACAGATCTTGTATGCCTTCAAACAGTGTTGGTGGCCACAGCTGCGAGTAGGTGTATGCTACTGACTCTAGAGAAGCAAGGCCAGGGATGCTACTAAAATATCCTAGAGTTCACAAGACTGCCTCCAACAACAAAGATTTATCGAGCCCAAAATGTCAGCAGTGCCAAGGCTGAAAAGCTCTGCTGTTGGCTGAAGAAGTCCTTGAAGGAGGCACAGGAATAAGAAAGCAGCCAACTTGGACCAAAGAAGCCAAAGATCCAAAGTCTGACCCACTGTCCTGCAGAAGGCCAGTCAGGCAGAGGGCTAAAAATAGATTAGTTGAAAGTTGAAAAAACAAAACAACAGATTCCACTCAACTCTGCACAGATACCAATGCTTTAGGCAAAATAATGAAGGTTAATTCATGAAAAAAAGAACTCCACTCTTCAATAAGTGGTATCTAAAGCTTCTCCAGGGAAATAACCTCCTCTATAGTAGAATCTACCCATTAAGTACTCCCCACTACAGAGAGTTTCCACTCAGCATTTTAATGCATCACTGTGAAATGAATGGACAACTGAGAAAATCAAGAAATATCTACAAAATAAAAGACCAAACAACAACAAAAGAACCTGGAAGAAAAAAGAAAAAGTAAGCAGGAAACAGAAAAACTCTGCCAAGGAAATAACTCTAGTATCCCAATTTAGAAACAAGAAGACACATCCATAAAAGACGAAAAGGATGCTATGAAAAAGAACAAAGAATAAGACAACACTCTCAGAGACACTGGAAATATCTCAAAAGAAAATTTTCAGGCAATGGTGGGGAAAAAAATCAAAGAAATCTTGGGAGAACAACAAAAATTATTTGAAAACTGAAGAAGAAAGAATGTTTAGTATACAATAAACAGGAATTCTAGTATGAGCAAACAGAAAAGAAAAAAAAAAAAGTAGGGGAAATGACCAAGAAAACAAAGGAGAAAAAAAAAATAGAGAAAAGAAAAGAGAGAATTCACAGGTTAACAGATAATTCTCCAGAGTGAAAAGGTGAGGTTGGAGGGGGTAGAAATTGCAAATACTGAGAAATAAGAATGAAATCTCAGCAGAACAGTCTGAAATTTCACCAATAAAGAGAATTAAGGCTTGTCAGTAAAAACTACACAAGTAAAAAGAAGGAATTATTAACCTCAGGAAAAACAAACAGTTTTAAAAAATAAAAGAAAACAGAATTATAGTATACTACTTAGTTCTCAGTAAATAATTTTATTTATTATAGAGAGGCAATGATTACACAACTTAAAGGCTGCTTAACGTCACTGAGATGACAAAGGGCAGGAATATGTATATGGGTATATTTGTGAAGAGGTAGAGATAAAACTAAATTTCCATTTTCATAATAAGTCAAGTGTTAAAAATTAGTAGTTGAGGAAGTAAGTTTAAGACCTATGATGATAAATGCCAGGAGGAATCACTAAAGTTGCCAAGGTAGCCCCTGAGAAACAGAACTGAGGGGACTGGAAGGCGGGGAGAGGTGAGACAGAAAAACACGCAGAAACCCTTCATTTCCAGCTATTACTGTCATCATGTATTACACTGATAGAAACAACTTCAAATATGCACTGAAGAACACTTTTGACTTTTAAATAATTCCTCTTTAGAACTATCAACATTATTACCTGCTCCACACAGATTTGAAGGGTGGTGGATTTGCATCAGCATTACATTTGAGATTAACACCTTTTCTTCCTACGAACCAGTTTCCATCATAGCCTGTTACTGAAACCTCAGGAGCATCTATAAAATAAATGCATTACACAGCAGATTATCTTTTGTTAACAACAGATGCAATATACAGTGATGAAGTGTTAACAACTTTACAGCTGGAGAAGCTGTGTGCTCCCCTCCTCTCACACATACAAGAAGTAAGGAATGTGGTGTTCAGTCCCAACCGGCTCAGTGGCGAAGAACCCGCCTGTCAAGCAGGAGACGTGGGTTCCAGCACTGGATCGGGAAGATCCCCTGGGGAAGGAAATGGCAACCCACTCCAGTGTTTTTGCCTGGAAAACCTACCTCATGGACAGAGGAGCCCAGTAGGCTACAGTCCATGGGGTTGCAAAGAGTCGCACACGACTCAGCAACTGAACAAGAACAAACTCCATAAACTCTGGGTATTTAACTAAACGAACGAATGGATGGTGGACGATGAGCACCAAACACTAGACAGCCACATGCATGTACAATGCTAGTTATTTTGGACACAATGAAAGAACATTCACAAGCTTACAATCACCAAAAGCAAAATATGAGTCCTATTATGATGCAGAAGTATATGAAAAAGAAAATACAGTAATTTGATAATGAGACATGGCATTTAAGCAGAAAGCCACTACATAAAACTGCCCTGAGATATCAATTATAAAAAATTATAAAATTCATGCATTTAATTAATAAGTGTTACATCACAGTTAATATGTTTAAATTAATATTAATATTAAAATAAATTATATTATAATTAATATAATTAATATCATACACTTAATTAATATCCACTGGGCATGAGAGATATGACAAACTTTTTAAGACTATAATTACAACTAAAGTAAATTTTCTGAGGCTGAACTGTTCCAAAACATGAACTTTTATCCACTCCTAAAGGTCTTTTAGCATATGTACTATATAATTAAACGAGTAATTATCCACATCTAACATCAATATAAATGTATACTTTCAAACTGTGAATTCCAATACTAATCATTTACTGAACCATCATTCGTTTAGCTCCTATTAAGTGACAGGCACTGTTTTAGATATTTAGTATCGATATTCTGTATTTATAATAATACCTATACTCTAACAGTAACAGGGAAGATAACATTTTAAAAAATTTAACAAAAATCTGTTATGAGGACTAGCAATGAAAAATATAGAATGATAAGAAAGAAGGTAAAGAAGTGACACTTAAGTTTGGTGCGGAGACCCTCAACCCTTCTGTGAGCTCCACAGGTAAACGAGATAAACAGCAGGCCAGATGGGATGTGAGAGAGACCAGGTCAGTCTTCTAACTATGCAGGGAAGCCTGAAGTCAAGGGAGGTTTACAGAAAACAGTGGGGAAAAGTCAAACTTCTACTAAGGTACAAGTACCTTAATGATTTTAAAAGGCCTACCTCATAAATACCAAGAATTAACATTTTTTTCTAACTTAAAATTGGTAATAATTATTGTTGCTGAAAGAACAGTACAGGTATCTGTGTGTTTATTTTCAACAGAGGATAAGATAGATATTAAAGTATCCTCAAAGAATACCTCTAAATTTTGAGATATGCATTTTGCATATAAGATTTTATCTCCTCAAACTTTGCTTACATGTTTTTTAGGGCCTAATTAACAATAGCAAGGAAGAATATTTTAGGTATAGGCCAGCAAGTCTAAGCTGTAATTATAAAGTCTTACATCAGGAGAAATATTTTTATATTTTAAAATTGTGTTTAGGCAAACAAAAAATAAGAGTATACATAATCGATGAAAATTTCAGTCATTATCAGACACAGGGAAGAGAAAATACATATGAGAAAAATATTAATGGACTTATAACTGAATCTAAATTTTATAAGAAAAAAGAAAAATTTAAGAGTATGTACAAGACAGAAAAATGAGGAGAAAAGAAGGTACAGCCAGCCATCTTTATGGGTTCAGCTTCTGTGGATTCAATCAACTGTGCATGAAAAATATTCAGGAAAAAAAAAATTCTAGAAAAGTACAAAAATCAAAACTTGAATTTGCTGCATATCAGCCATTATTTCCATAGTATTTACATTAAATTTAAAGCTATTTATATAACATTTACATTGAGTATGTATTATAAGCAATCTATAGATGATTTAAAGAACACAGGAGGATGTGTGTAGGTTATATGCAAATATATGCCATTTTATATAAAGGATTGGAGCATGCCTGGAGTTTGGCACAAGCAGGAGTCTTGTAACCAACCCTTCATGGATACTGACAAATTACGAGGAGGGACTACTACTAGGACTGTATTTGCACTCAAGAATACAATGGTAATAAAATCCACATAAGACAGCTTCTCAAGTTTAACTCTATAAATGTTGAAAAAGATCCTTATAATTAGTTTTCAAAACAATCATACCAAGTGTAACGAATATGTGTAAATTAAAATTCCATGTATGTCATATCAAAAAAACAAAACAACAAAAAACAGAACATCTCCTTCAAAAACCTATCTAGATTTATGATCTGTGCATGGATGGAAATGACACAAGAACCCAGAGACTTTTCATAATTTTATCTTTAACCTACTTAACTTTCATTATCTTTACTATAAGCTATCTGCATTTCTCTTGCTCAAATTTTAAAATGCTACACAAAGACTATATAAAAAGTGAGAAACTTTATAAAAAGGGGAACTATATACACATATGTATCACATACATATGATATCCACACACACATATTTATCTCTCCACACAAACACACACACAAGAGAGCATCCATTAAGGAAAAGGCAGCACAGGATGGCCCACTTTGGACTTTATCTATTATCCCAATGATCACTTTACTGTTTTACCTTGATGAGGATCTTAGAATGTCATCAACAAAATGTGACTACAAATAACATTGAAAGAAAAAATTTTCCAGCTAATTAAAATGCAACTAGCAAATTAAAGATTCTTACTGAAAATATCATGGGTAGCACTCATAAAAATGAACAACAGCTAAATTAACTGGATTGGAGAAGCAGATGTTTTTCTCCAAGTACTGAACATTCTGAGGTACAAATTTCCACAATTCACCTAAGTCTAGCCTATTTTTAAGGTCTAAAAAAGACAAGGCTAAATAATTTAAAGTGAGACAGCAACTTTAATCATTGCCTTTACAAACTAACAATAATGTTCTGGTTAAATGAAATTTCCAAGAAAATATTTTTTTTAATTAAGAAAAACTGTCAACAAGGAAAATCTACAGCAATATAAGGATACTACATATACAAACTTAATACAATTTGATACAGAATTATGTTAGAGGAATAATATTAAAACACATAATGCTTAAAAAGCAAACATTATCATTTACTTACACTGTATATCTAATATGACGGAATATCGGATGTCCTTTTCCAAGGCTGGATGTTTCACAACGCAAGTAATTCTCCTTCCTTTGGCAAATCTGGTAGGAAAAAGCTTGTATTGGCTGACAATTGTTGCTGTTTCATTTGGAAAAGAAGTTGTGGTGGATTCCATTTCTCCAAGATCACCTTCCCAATCAATATGTGCAACTGGTTTTCCAGTGGCTGCGATACAAATGGCTGCTACTGTTTCATTTCCTCCATCAATTAAAGAATCTGGCCCTTTTATCAGGCTCACAGTAGGTTCAACTGTTTAAATTTTAAAAAATTAGTTACATTTCAATTAAGAGCATATTTACTCCTTCCAAGCCACATCTAGCCACATTTCATAAACTTAGGGACAACTGAATGTAAATTACACACACACAATGCCAACACCAAATGGATTCTTAGAACCAGAGAAGATTGGGTCAGGCCAATCTAGAAGCAAGACTTCATATAACCATCACAAAGATGGTTCCCCTGCCCTGATAGAGACACACCTTTTTCTATAGGGACAAATGAGTTTCTTCCAAAGTTAACATATAAAAAAAATCTGCGAATTTGATCATAATTTCCATTAGGAGATTAAAGGTACTATTATTCTGAAATGGCAAATAAAAACACAGTTTTAATATATAATGCTTCAAGTTGTGGCAAAAATGTTTATATTTAAATTACAACTGTTAAAATATAGTGTCATTAAGAGTTGTGCTTACTGAAACGTACTTGCTACCTACCTTTATCTGATGTTAAGAAAGACCCTCTGCAGGAGAAGTAACCTTAGTGGTCGACCCTGTTAATCTACCCTCCACATGCATGCTAGCAATCTCTGCAGATTTTCCAGTAAATTTCATACGCTCCTTTCTGTATAAATCCCTTAGTACTCACTTTGTGTTCTTTGGCTCCAGCCTGTAGTTTACTGTGTCCATTAAGTTTTTAATCTAAAAGACTTTTTTCATTTCCAAAATTTTTAATTGGCTCATTTTTAAAATATATTTTTGTCTCAATTTTCTGTTCCTGAGATTTATTCATGTAGGATCATTTAGCCTTCAATTATTATTTTACAATTCTTTGTTTTACTTTTAGATCATTTAGATTTGCATACAACTGTATAAATTATAACTACTTAACTACTTATGTACTTAACTCTGTATGGTTAACTACTTATGGTTAGTCTTAACTACTGTATGGTTCATTTACTGTTGAATATTGGTGTTTCCTCTTTGGAAAAAAATGATTTTTTAAAAGACATTTTCACTCATGTATCTTGGTATATGTGTAAAAACAGTCTCTCTAGTTTTCCTCCTGCTTTTATGTTTATTTCCACCTTTACCAAGCAAGCCCAAAAAGCTTTCCAGAGCACCAACTTGCTCTCAGCCTTAGCACTCCGGTTGGTCCCAACACACCCGCTGCAGTTCACACTGCCAGACTTCTCAGTGTCTGACAAGCCTGGCAATGTATAACAGCACATAATAGAGGCCCTGATTTTAATTTCTCAGACTATAAATGACATTAAGAATCTTGTCTTATTCATGAGCCATCTGGGGTTTTTCTGAAAATACCTATTAAAGTCCATTTTTTTTTTTCTTACTGATTGGGGAGAGTCCATTTCTGATTATATGTGCAATATCTTCTGCCATTTAGGGCTTCTCTCTTTATAGTGTTCTGATGAGCAGAAGTTTTTAATTCAAATGTATAAAATTCATCAGTTAACTTTTTTATATACAGGCACACCTCACTTCATTGTGCTTCACAGATACTGCATTATTCACAAACTAAAGGCTTCTGGTAACCCTGTATTGAGCAAATCTATTAGCATCACTTTTCCAACAGCATTTGCTCACTTCCTATCTTTGTCACATTTTGGTAATTCTCACAATATTTCAAGCTTTTTCATTATTATTATATTTGTTATGATGATCTGCAATCTCAGATGTTACTACTGTAAAAACATTAAAACTGGCTGAAGACTCAGATGATGGTAAGTATTTTTTAGCAATACAATGATTTTTTAGCTAAAATATATACACTGCTAAGACAATGCTATTGCACGCTTAACAGACTACAGTGTAGTATAAACATAATCTTTATAACAGTGTGAATCCAAAAAAATCATGTGACTGTCTTACTGTGATATTTACAATTACTGTGTGAAATAAATATACACACACACATATACATATTATATATACATATACATTATATACATACATAAACATTACACACACACACACGTGGGCTTTGCCGGTGGCTCAGATGGTAAAGAATCTGCCTGCAGTGAAGACCTGGGTTCAGTCTCTGGATGGAGAAGGGAATTCTCCAGGTTTCTTGCTTGGAGAACCCCATGGACAGAGGAGCCTGGCAGGCTATAGAGTCCACGGGAGCATAGAGATGGACACGACTGATAGTTTCCTGTTCTCTGCAGAAATTCAATAATTTATTGAATTTCTTATCCCTTCAAATGGTAAGCACTGCTGTTTAATAGCCTAGGTCAGATAATTCCAACATCTTACACAGGTCTATTTCTCTTCTTGTTTGTACTGGCTGCTTCTGGGTCTTCTTTACTTGTATGCCTGGTCATTCAAGCAGATGCTTGAATTTGAATGATTAAGGTAGAAATAATTTGAGGCTTAGAATACAGTACCTTTCTTCCAGAAAAGATCTTTCTTTTCTTCTGCTAAGCTAGCTTCTAGGAACACTATCCAGCCCAGGACCTCAATTTCAGATTACTCAAGTGATATAAACCAAGACTCAAAGTCTGTAATAAGGCTGGTTTGCTGTGGGTGAACACTCTTCTGAAAATGTTAAGGTGCTGGGTACCAGGAGAATATAAGAAAGGTTACTAGACATCCCATCTCGAGCAGACTTACATTTAGATATTTGTCTCTCTCACTTCTCAAGGATCTCAAAATCTTAGCTCATCATCTTAGGTATCTCTAATGAATTGCTGAATGTCCCCAAGGTTGAATACAGATTTCAGCTTTCAGAGCTAGGTTTATTTCTATGTTTCTACCTTTTCTTAGATTTTAGTGTGTATTCCTTACTATGTTGTTATTTCTTTGAAGTTCTCAATGGTTTTTAATATTTCACCTGTCCATCCCCCAACCATGGCAGAGTCGGTGTGAATAACCTGTGCCATCAATAGAGGTTTTTATTCTTGAGGAAATTTAAAAATTATTTTACAGTTAATTTTAAATTATATTACTTCTGCTTCCTCTGAAGGGAATCAAACCCCCGGGTGCAGACCACACCGGCTTTCTAAAGTTACCTTTCTCACACTCCCCAGCGTTTAGCCAACTTCTCTGCACTTCGTCCCGAGAGGTTCTGCTGCTGCCCCCTCTCCTACCCAGGACCCTCTGCACTCTGATCTGGAGGAATACGGCATTTTCCCAGCCCTGTATTAACACCAGGATTGTGAAGACCACTTCTTCCTGTTGGTTCTTTCCTCCACCTCCAAAGTGTCTTCCACGTGTACACAGTAAGTTCTAAACCAAAGACTTCAGAGGGCCCTTCTGTAGGTCTCTAAAGCACACATTCTTTCTCTCGGATACTCCCTTCTTTCTTTCTGCTCCACAAATTCTAAACATCTGTCCAATCCATCTCTTAAGAGTTGTGTCTGACTCTTAGGGACCCCATGGACTGCAGCCTACCAGGCTCCTCTGTCCACAAGAAGAGGACTGGAGTGGGGTGCCATTGCCTTCTTTGATATACTAATATAGTCATTATCATATACTTCACTTCTTCCTCTTTGTTTCCAGTGTCTATATAAATGTAATCATGGCATTCCTACAATTTTGTGGCTCATTTTATTTTCAAGCAGGAATACTTCTCTTAACTACAATTTTAGTAACTATATAATATCTCATACATCAAGAAGAAGCCATCAATTATACAACAACTCTTCTGCTATGGGGCATCTGTTGTTCAATTTTCCCAAAAGTGTTTTGCTATACTACAGTCCCTTAATTCAGCTGTCTCTCACTACCACTCCTCTGAGACTCCAATGTCACTGTCTCTGCCTAATCTACACTCAATGCTTTTCTTTGTCTATTTTCTATGACTGACTTGGTAGAAAGCTGACACTTAGTGCAGTTCTTCCCAATCGGTTTCAGGAGAATTAAGTTCTGATGCCTTCAGGTATCTGCCCTGAGTGATGAGTTAGCTTCTGGGGTATGCATTTAGAATGGTAGCAGCTATGTGACAACCACGCACGCTCGGCCGCGTCGGTCGTGTCCGACTGTGACTCTGTGGACTCAGCCCACCGGGCTCCTCTGTGCATGGGACTCTTCAGGCAGGAACGCTGCAGTGGGCTGCCATGCCCTCCTCCGCGGGATCTCTCTAGCCCAGGAACTGAACCTGCATCTCTCCTGTCTGCGGCACTGGCAGGTGGGCTCTTCACTGCGAGTGCCACCTGAGAAGCTGTATGCGCCAACTGCAGGAGCACTGGAAAAAAAGGGTCACCGAAACCACTTCTGTCGGGCTTGACTCTCACTGTGGGAAAAATGTGCTGGAGCAATCTCACACACTTTATCTTCTCTTGATATAAATAATATTACTCTAACAGTTTTTTTTTGCAAAGCTATGTTTTTGAACTGTTCATCTCTATTTCTTCTAATCCCTGCCCTAATAAAACATCAGTTACTTTCTGTATGTCTCTTAAAAACTTTTATCTGATAAACACTACTACCTGAATGATCCCTAATTTTATTCACTTTTGATACAAAATTTGGTATCACTTGTCTATGTATCCTCCAACTCAGTAAGCCAAAGCTTGAATTTATCATCTCATCCTCCCAATCCCCAACATGATTTTCATTCAGACATGCCAATTTAAATTAACGGCAACATAATTTACTCAACCACTAAGGCTGAAAACCTGTTAACTGTTCAAACCTTCCTGGTTTCTTACATACAGTCAGTTACAAAGTTCTATTAGTTTTTCCTTCCTAATAGCTCCCTTCTTCACTTGGCATAAATTAGAAAATTAACTTCAAGCTTTCATGGCCTCCTATCTGAGGAATTATGACTTCAGGACTCTTCATTTTAATCCATCAAAAACACCTGACTGATCTTCCTAAATCAGAACTTTCATCACATTACTTACAAATAAAGTCTATGAGTTAGACATCCCTCTAAGGAAGGTGAGAAGATGGTCAAAGTAGTGTTTTTCAAACTTTACCTACTATGCATAAAAATTACTTGGGATCTTGCTATAAGAGATTTATCATTCAACAAGTCTGGGGAGGATCTGAATTCTGTATTTCTAACAATCTCCCAAGTGATACCACTGCTGCTGGCTCATGAACCACACTTTAAACAACAAGAATCTGGTACTTCCCTGGCAGTACAGTGGTTAGGGCGATGTGCTTTTCACTAAAGGCATGGGTTCAATTCCTGGTCAGAGTACTAAGATTCCATATGTCAGGTGGTACAGTCAAAAATAATAAAAAATAAAATAAACAGAAAGAACTTGAGAATAAGAGAAGTGAGAAATGCTCAGTTTGCATTTCAAGTAATATAAGGCTCAAATTCCCAATCTTGATATTCCAGTTACTTTAAAGTGGTCCCACTCTTCATTTCTAGCCTTTAATTCTTGACTTTATATAAATCCTTTGAACAATCAACAGATTATTCAGTGGTCCCTCAGAGGACACTTGGCAATGCTGGGAGACATTCTAACTTGTCGCAACTTCTAAGGAACTGCTCCTAGTATCTAGCAGGTAGATGGCATGAAGGCTGCCAAACAGTGCATAATGGACAGGACAGTTTACCCCAGCAAAAATTTCCAGCCTAAGACTTCAACAATGCCATGGTGAAGAAACTCTGCCCTAATATATGTTGTTTTCTGCTTCCTTGCATTGGCTCACTTATTCCCCTCCATATGTTTCTTTCCTTTTTGCCTACTAAGACCTATCCACCATTCAAGGACTAGCTCAACTCTTTTTCAACAAAACATTTCTGAACTGGAGTTAACTTAGCTACTTCCACACCTGACCTAAGTAATACTTGGTGCATTAATGCTGCACACCAGAGACTCTCACAAGCTTCATGGACATAAAGTCACACTTTAAAGTGCACAGCTGCCGTCCACCACAGGTTTATAGTGGAAAAGACACACAGTAAGTGCTAAACGAACTGCTATAACAGAGACAAGCTCAAGATACAATGGCAAAAGAGCAAAATAAAATCCCCACCAAGCAGCGGAGGGCTAGGTATGTTTAAAATGGCTACCAAAAGGATGTGGTGTGATGAGTAACGGTTAAACAGAAGACATGGAGGGAGGGACAGACACAAGGGGAAAGGCGGCGATCTTCTGGGAAGAGAGGCACAGCAAAGCATACGTATAAAAACACAGGCGTCAACATACCACAAACAGTTCATAAGATGATAAAATTTAGGCTGCTGGGAGAAGCAGAGCACGGAATGGGACAGATGAAAGCAGGGAAGCAGACACAGGTAAAATCACGACTGGTCTTATACTATAAACAATCCTGAGTTTTAAACCACTAAATGCTTATTAATTTAGGAAGGATTACTAAAATTTAAAGCAAAAAATCTTACTCTCATGAGCTCTCTCTTCTACATACAAGTTTTTTTTCTTGACATTTATTTTTTTTAAAGTTTTTACCCCAATGGCATGCACTTGATTTTTTAGATATCAATACCTTGTTTTCCAATCAAAACAGTTTTCAAAAGTATCAATTTTGTGAACCTAAGTTATATTTTCTCCACAGCCCTTAGGACAGGGTCTTAAACACAAAGTCTTCAAATATTTAATTTTATTTCTGTTTTTAAATAGTTTTTCTCAACATGAAAAAATATATAACAAATTTGGACAAAATTTCTTCCCTGAACTTCAGGGATCCTGAAATCATACCATTAAATTTTAAAGGCTGTGTAACTGTTTGGTTCTCCTGAAGCAGACAGTGAGATGAGTGAGGAGTGCAGAAAGTCTATAAAGGGTCAGCATCCTGGAGAAGAGAGAGGAGGGACCAGGGAAAGCCACCAGTGACCTGACAGAAGCCCTGACAGGCAGACAGCTGGATTCGGGGCAAAGACCTCCCCATTAAAGGGGCTCCACTCTGGGGGGAAATGGCTAAGGTTGCTACTAGTGCTTGGTCCTCAAACTAGTAGTCTATGAGTACTCACCAGCTGTTCCAGATTGGTTTACCTTTCACTGCAGGTGGCTATTTTAAAGCTAATAAGCTCTCTCTAAAGTTCAACATAATTTTAATAGTTATCAGATAGTAAAAGGCAGAAGATCCATCAATGGAAGCAAAAGCCCATGATTCAAATAGCTATGCAAATTCACAACAGCAGAAATAAAAATCTGATTTGAAAAACAAACGTAAGACGTCAATGGCTCTAAGACCACAGTCATTTAAAAAAATGGAAAAGCTTATTTAAAGGTGGTAATTTAACTAAAGGTTGAAGTTTGAGGGGAAATAAAATAAACATCAAAGAATATTAGCACTTAGTATTATAAGTAAAAAAACAATCTTTCACGAACAAAGTAAAATAGCTATGAACTACACAGCATTATACAGACAGGTAGATATGGACAAGATTTTGTTTAAACAGAGTCTAGAATCATAGAGTTTTATGACAAACTGAAAAATCATATTTGAATTCTTTCATTTTAAATCTACATTTATATGCAATTTCAATCAGTTTAAGTTTTTGAAAATATTTTTACTATAATCGTCACCACTACCACCAAAACACGAACCCGAGTGCACATACCTAGCACAGTCACAGTTGTAGAGGACTCGGCGTTCCCCAGCGGGAATGTGACAGCTTTGCACACGTACTTTCCCGAATCAGAGAACCCGATGTTATGCAGGGTGATTGTTGCGTCACTAATGGAATAGTTTTTAAACAAGACTCTCCCCTGATACTCTCCTTGGACAGAGAATCCGTGCTGAGGATGATGAACGGCAACAGTCTGTGAGCTTTTGCCATGTATCTTCTCCCATGAAATCTGTGTTATAGTTTCATTTACTTCAATTAAGCACTTCAACGAAACATTCTTTCCCCACACTGCTGTGACCTGTGGCTCCACAATAATCGGTCCAGCTAAGGCACCTGAGGAAAAAAGAAAAGCATAGTTCTTAAAAGTGAACCTAAGTTATGCTAATATATGATCAAATTCCCTCCCTCCCTGTTTCCCACACACAGACACTAATGACGAGCAAACAGGAAGAACTGAAAGGAGTTACATGTTTTCAGGGCTGGATTTAAGGCCCAAAGCATGATTCTTAAATGGATCAAATAATCACCACTATGTGTTGCAGTGGATAAAGCACTACACCGGGCCAACAGTAAGCTTAAAAGGAGGTCCTTCCCCCGTTAAGCCACTAGGTAAGGTCCCAGCCCCAGCTGACACCCTGACTATGGCCTAGTGAAAGACTCTGAAACAAAGAACTCAGCTGAGTCACACCTGGATTCCTGACCCAAAGAAACTGACATATAATAAAAGTGTGCTGTTTTAAAACTACTAAACTTTAGGATATTTTGTTACTCAGTAACAGATAACCAAATCCTAAAGTATCTTCCTTCAGAGGGTTTCTCTACCAAAAATCTGTATAGAACACATTGGTAAAGACAGATCAACTGCCAGAAAACATAAGTCAAAAAAACACATATAAACGTGAAATCAAAACTTTCTATCTCATAGATGAAGAAAACATACAAACAAAAGTTAAAATAAAATCATCAAACTTCACCCTTATGATACTGATTCCTTCCTAAAAGCAATGGGCCAAATACATTTTACGGAACATCGGACTAATACTCATTAATACTAAATTCAAGCAAGACACTCTTCACTAACAAGTATATTAGAACATATATAGCAAATACATGGGGTGTATCATTTAAAAGATGATTAAGAAAAACATTTAAACATGTTCAAACAACTCTAAACAACAATAAAAACTTAATACAATATTATTTCCATGAACTTTTGCATGAAGAAAAAAAAAACCATACATGGAATACATTAAATAGATAAGAGAGTTAACTTTCGTATCCAAGAGATGACTGAGGATATTACAGGAAAGGACTGAAAATCCACACTGATCATACTTAACACCTATGGAAGAAAAGTTGTCTTTTTTTTAACCACTCCACCAAAAAAAAAAAAATCAAGTCCAAAAAATGTACTCTCAACCATATGATAAGTGCAACGCTTTTAGAATTGAATGTAGTTAGTACAAAACATGAAAGCATTCAAGTGCACTGGAGCAGCTGCCACAGGCCTCTGAAGATACAGAGATGGGAAAGCAACGCATAAACATTGAAACTGCATATGATATTACGAAATAACACATAGCTTTGTATTTAAAGAAAAAGACACAATGACTAAGCAGGACATGAAAAATGTAAGGATTTTGTAGACTATTCATCACAACGAAAGGTCGCATGGCTTTCTCATTGGAAGCCAAAAGGATATTTAAGAGAATGTAACATTCATTATCTGGATTTTTAAGAAGTAACAATTGAAGAAAGAATTCTTAATAATATATTCTTCTAAATCAATGGACATCACAATGCTAAAATTAACGGGGGGGGGGCACGTTATTAAGGAACGATGAAGACAAGATGGTACACTATCATCATCATTCAACTTACAATGGAAACTCTCACGCAATGAAACAAGAAAAGGAAACAGGGATGAATAAAAAAAGATAATATGAAATTATCTCGAAAATCTATTACTAGATAAACCGAAGAAGGTCAAGGAAACCACTGTTAGAACAAATAACATGGCTGCATGTAAAGAATGCAAACTGTATACAAAATATATATTCAACATGTTATAATATGTGATAATCTTTACAAATTTACTGTAGAAAAAAACAGCATTCATAAAATATTAATATTTAAACTACTTAAATAATGCTGTAAAGAACCTGCAGACCTGAGCAGCTGACTGGAAGGCGTGTCACCTTCATGAGGAGGAAAGTGCAGCGCTGCACAGACGGCACACCTCCCCACATCAGCACACAAACTCAACGCAACTGCAGTGAGAACCACAGCACACACACCACCGCACAGTAAGGGGGCTGATACTAAAGTGACAGCAATACAAAGCTCAGGATCGTAAAGCAACTTAGAGTATGTAAACAGATCAACATATATGATGGCATATGGTATGTAACATGTTCTATGAGTGTAAATAATGAATTAGTGAAGACATGCTGAAAGGACAGGAGCTAAATATTTGGAAATAGAGATCCCTGATTGACACTAAACACACATACACACACAAATCCAGATGGACTGGAGATCTAAATGCAAAAAAATCAGTCACATATGCCATATATACTAACAATTTTTTATATGTTCTGGAAGATAAACATTAGTTACTGTAAGGAGTGAAATGACTAAAGATTAAAGAGAGAAAGAACTTTTAGTTGTCACTTTGTGTTCTTCTTTGATGTCAGAATCACTTACAATAACTAATGCTCATAATGAAAGCAAACAAACAGCCTGCCCCTCCTCAGGTAGAGACAGAGAAGGAGCAGGATGGAGCGGCATTATGGGCCCAACGCCTCTGCCCCTCCACACTGTGTGTCCTGAGCACTAACACGCGGTGGGCCTGCTGTGACAATGACATGTACTGAGGGCGGGCCCACATGCTGGCATTACTGTCCTCATTTAAAAAAGGAAGAGGTAACAGAGCTCTCGCTGACTCTCTACCCTGACAAAGCAAGAAGGTGGCTGTCTGCAAGCCAGGAAAGAGTCCTCAACAGGAAATGATCTGTTTACACCTTGATCCTGGATTATCAAACTCTAGAACTTTGAGAAATAAATTCAGATACTTAAGCCAACCAGTCTATAGTGTTTTTTATAGCAGTTTCACCTGACGAAGACATCAAAATAAACTGGAAAGGACGGCGCTAATGATACCTCAGTACAACCTTAAGAATAATGGCTTATGGAGTAGCAATGTTCACACCAGACAGAACAGAATTTAAAACAAAATCTACAACAAAAGACAAATAGGATATCATATAATAATAAAAGGGCCAATCCAAGAAACAGACATAAAATTTGTAAACATATATGCACTTAATAGAAATCTCTTCAAGAAAATTAGAAATACCAAGGGAACATTTCATGCAAAGATGGGCTCAATAAAGGAGAGGAATGGTATGGACCTAACAGAAGCAGAAGATATTAAGAAGAGATGGCAAGAATACACAGAAGAACTATACAAAAAAGATCTTCACAACCCAGATAATCACTATGGTGTGATCACTCACCTAGAGCCACACATCCTGGAATGTGAAGTCAAGTGGGCCTTAGGAAGCATCACCATGAACAAAACTAGTGGAGGTGATGGAATTCCAGTTGAGCCATCTCAAATCCTCAAAGATAATGCTGTGAAAATGCTGCACTCAATATGCCAGCACATTTGGAAAACTCAGCAGTGGCCACAGGACTAGAAAAGGTCAGTTTTCATTCCAATCCCAAAGAAAGGTAATGCCAAAGAATGTTCAAACTACCATACAATTGCACTCATCTCACACACTAGTAAAGTAATGCTCAAAATTCTCCAAGCCAGGCTTCAGCAATACCTGAACCATGAACTCCCAGATGGTCAAGCTGGTTTTAGGAAACGCAAAGGAACCAGAGATCAAATTGCCAACATCCACTAGATCATTGAAAAAACAAAAGAGTTCCAGAAAAACATCTATTTCTGTTTTACTGACTGTGCCAAAGCCTTTGACTGTGTGGATCACAATAAACTGTGGAAAATTCTGAAACAGATGGGAATACCAGACCATCTGACCTGCCTCCTGAGAAACCTGTATGCAGGTCAGGAAGCAACAGTTAGAACTGGACATGGAACAACAGACTGATTCCAAATAGGAAAAGGGGCACATCAAGGCTGTGTATTGTCACCCTGCTTATTTAACTCATATGCAGAGAACATCATGAGAAACATGATGGGCTGGAAGAAACACAAGCTGGAATCAAGATTGCCAGGAGAAATATCAGTAACCTCAGATAATGCATATGACACCACCCTTATGGCAGAAAGTGAAGAAGAACTAAAGAGCCTCTTGATGAAAGTAAAAGAGGAGAGTGAAAACGTTGGCTTATAGCTCAACATTCAGAAGACTAAGATCATGGCATCTGGTCCCATCACTTCATGGCAAATAGATGGGGAAACAGTGACAGACTTTTTGGGGGGAGGGCTCCAAAATCACTGCAGATGGTGATTACAGCCAAGAAACTAAAAGACACTTGCTCCTTGGAAAAAAAGTTATGACCAACCTAGACAGCATATTAAAAAGCAGAGACATTACTTTGTCCACTAAGGTCCGTCTAGTCAAGGGTATGGCTTTCCCTGTAGTCACGTATGGATGTGAGAGTTGGACTATAAAGAAAGCTGAGCGCCGAAGCATTGATGCTTTTGAACTGTGGTGTTGGAGAAGACTCTTGAGAGTCCCTTGGACTGCAAGGAGATCCAGCCAGTCCATCCTAAAGGTGATCAGTCCTGGGTGTTCATTGGAGGGACTGATGCTGAAGCTGAAACTCCAATACTTTGGCCCCCTGATGTGGAGAACTGACTCATTTGAAAAGACCCTGATGCTGGGAAAGATTGGGGGCAGGAGGAGAAGGGGATGACAAAGGATGAGATGGTTGGATGGCATCACCAACTCAATGGACATGGGTTTGGGTTGACTCCGGGAGTTGGTGATGGACAGGGAGGCCTGGCGTGCTGCAGTTCATGGGGTCACAAAGAGCCAGACACGACTGAGTGACTGAACTGAACTGAACAGACAAGTACCAAAATATATAAAGCAAAATAATAATAGACATAAAGGAAAGAATTGACAACAATACGGCAATAGTAGAGGACTATAATGCTCTACTTATATCAGTGGATAAGTCATCCAGACAGAAAACCAGTAAGGAAATAGTGGTCTTAAATGACGGACAAGATGGACTTAATAATTATCTACAGAACAGATATTTCATTCAAAGCAGCAAAATAACACATTCTTTTAAAATGCACATGGAACTTTCTGCAGGACAGGTCACATGCTAGGCCACAAAAATATCTCAAT